CGGCCGCGTCCTCGGGCGCCTGAGTGCTGACCGCGCCGTAGAGCCTCTGCACGCGCTGCAGCAGCGCCTTGCTCTGGCCGTCCGGGGCCTTCGGCAGGGCGCCGCCGCCAGGGCCGGGCCGTGGAGGGCGGTCGGGCCCCGGAGGACACTGGGCAGGGCCCCACTCACAGGTACGGGATGCAGGGCGGCTCCACCTCCGACAGGGCGGCCCGGTAGGCGCGGAAGGAGGACGAGCTGTCGATGAGCGTGCAGTACTCGGCCAGGCCCTGGCGGAGGGGCGGGAGGGCGGTGGGCCGGCCTGCCGCAGGCCCCGCTCCCCTGCCCGGACCCCGCCGCCGCTCCTCCTGCACGCCAGGCGGCGCCACGGGGCGGCGGCTCACCGCGCGGCGGCTCCTGCCCTCCGGACCCTGCCCTGCCCGTCCCCCTCCGGTGCGTCACTTCCCCCGGAAGCCTCCCCCGCCATTTCCCACCTCGTGTGTTCCTGGGCGGCCGGCGGCGGTCTCACCTTGCACCCACCCGCTCTGCCCCACGTGTACCTGCCGGCGGGCAGCCCGCCCCCGCGCGCTGACGTGGCGGATGCCCCGCCCCTGCGCGCTGACGTGGCAGGCTCCCCGCCCCCGCGCGCTGACGTGAAGGTGCCCCGCCCCCGCGCGCTGACGTGAAGGTGCCCCGCCCCCGCGCGCTGACGTGGCAGGCTCCCCGTCCCCGTGCGCTGACGTGGCAGGTGCCCCGCCCCAACCCCCGTGACGTGGCGGGCGCCCGGCCCCCCCACGCTGACGCGGCAGGTGCTGGTCCAGCGGGGTGCACGCCCCTCCCCCTGAGCCTGCGGTGTCCGCCCCCTGCTTCCTGCTGGTGGCCCCGCTGGCCCGCGGCCCCGCCTCTGTCCCTGGACCTGCACGCCCGCTCGAGGGGCCTCCCTGCCAGGCCGCTAGCACCGCCCCTGGTCACAGACCGCCCCCACTGTGGCCCGGGGCCAGAGGGAGGGGGGGCAGGCGCAGTGGGGGCCGGGCAGCAGGGAGCGGTGAAGCCCCCAGAACCAGGACCCGAAGACTGGAAACTGGGTGAGGACACGGGGCAGGGCCAGGCTGCCGGCCACCGGGAGCGGCCCTAGGCACTCACCTCTGCGGTCTGCTTCTGCCACTCCAGCCGGCGGATGGGCGCCGAGTCCAGCGCGGACAGGATGGCCAGGTAGGAGTTGAAGTTGTTCAGCTTGCGTAAGTGCTGTGGGGCAGACGTGAGGTGGGCGTGCTGCCGGGGTCTGGGGCGAGGCAGGCTGGGGTGGGGCGCCCACTGTTACCTTCATGATCTTGATGAACTTCAAGAGCAGCCGTTCCCTGTCCTGGGCCTTTTCCTGCAGCATGATTATTGACCGGACCCTGCACAGACGGAGGACAGAGAGGAGATGCTGACCGGGCGGTCTCCCTGAGCCCGGCGGGCCTGGCGGGGCACGTGGATCACGAGCGCCCTTGTCTGCTTCCAGCGGCTCCTGGTGCCCCAGGAGTAGCGAGAAGCCCCCAAGAATGTGGGGCTGGGCCACACCCAAGCTGGGGTGCACACAGAGGCTCTGGAGCAGGGCAGAGCTTCCTGCTGGTGGGCCCTGGGCACCACCAGCACGGGCAGCACACCTCAGACACCTGCCAAGGAGGAACTGGCCTCTGGCTTCAAGGGGATGGAGCCCCGGCAACCGGACCAGAGGCCAGCCTCACGGGAGGGCCTCACTGTGGCCTGGACGCCCTCAGTCACCCTTGCTGGCCACCTGGAGGAACTGCCACCGTTGGCTTTGCTGCTTCCGCCTTTAAAGGACACCAGCACCCCCTCCAGGCAGTCCCCACACCCACAGGGGCCGTCCCCTGGTGCGTGGGGGCTGCCCTCTGTGTGGACACCACCTGTCCTGCCGGGCGTGGCCCTACCAGGCTCCTGGGCCGACTGCGCCTGCCCTGCAGTAGGTGGGCACCAGCTGTTGTGAGTGGCGGGTGGGGTCTGCACAGCCACCCGGGCACAATGGACGTCCATGTTGATACCCACACTGTCCCGTGTGCCACATACACACATCCGGCCTGCGGAGCACTGAATAAAGGCCGTATGGAACCGCTCTTGGCTGCGAGTCTCGGGTGTGCGGGTGTGGACTGGCCCAAGGTGGGGCGCCCCCCCCTGCGTCCCCCAGTAGACATCATTCCTGCCAGCTGCCCTGGGCCTCCCCTCCACCCACAGGCCAGAGGCCCCTCCTGGCCCAGAAGCCGTGCCTCGGCCAGCCCCTCCGCTGCCCCTGCAGCCTCGCCAAGGGCTGGGGGGATGAGCGGCTCGGCCACTCACCAGTAGGACATATTGTTGAAATGCTCCGTGAACTGGGTCAAGTTGGGGCTCTTCTCCTCATTCTGCTCTTTTGCCCAAAGCAAAACCTCAGGAATCTACAAGGGAAGTAGTGGGCTTGACCGGGCGGCTGGCTCTGGGGAGGCCGCCCTCCTTCAGTGACCAGCAGCAGCCCCGCGCCCCAGCCCCTCAGCGCCGCACCTCGATTTTGTAGAAGAGCTCTGCATCCAGCAGCGTCAGCTGCTCGGCGATCTCGTGGCTGTGGAAGTCGTGCAAGGTCCCCGGCCTGCGAGACACGGGCGGAGGCATGAGCGGGCGGGCGGCGGTGGGGGCAGGGCCGGTGGGCAGGGGGTGGTCAGGCAGGTGGTGGTCAGGATCGGCCTCCAGGGTCCTGCCCCCGGCCTCTGCGGGCCGCAGAGCCCGGAGCCTGCTCACAGCCTGACGCTCCCGGGCGCCACCTGAAGGCGGCGCTCTGGTCAGGCCGGGCCCGGCAGGCAGGGAAAGGACCCTTCCGGTGGGTGGGGCTGGTGCCACCTGAGGGCCGGGAGGGTCACTCCGGAGCACCCCGTAGTCTCTGCCCTAGCAAGGGGCCGGGCAGACAGTCCCGCTGCCTATGACCTGGTCACAGACACCCCCTGGAGAGGCAGCCCCCCCAGGAGCCTCGCCACAGGCCCTGGGCAGGGCCGGGATGGAGGAGGGGGCGGTTGCCAGAGGAGCGGCCAGGAAAGCAGCCGCTTGGCCTGGGCTGGGGGCCGGGTCCACGTGGGCGCTCACCTGGCGGCGACCCCCCTGGCCGCGAGCGGCTGGTCGGAGTTGGCACAGCGGAGCAGCTTCTTCTGGTCCACCTTGTCCAGGATGTTCTTCCGGAGCACGCGGGCCAGGCTGAGCTCCCCGCCGCACACCAGGCGGAAAACCAGCTCCATGAGCAGCTTCAAGATCTCCTCAGTCAGCTCCACCAGGCTGGGGGCAAGGGCCACGGGTGAGGGGCAGGACCGCGAGGGCCAGCTGCCCCAGGCCAGCGTCTGCCTCACGCCACCGAGGGCCTCACAGCAGTGAGGTGATGCCGGCGGCGCTAGAAGCAGCTTGCGGGAAGAGAACAAGGGGAAAGGCAACCTGCGTGCGGGGCCGCCGGCCTCACGGCATCTCTCTGGGCCACGCTGGCCGCACCCGGACGGGCACGGGGCAGGCCGGGGCCTGGGCAGCCAGCCAGAGCCTGCCCCGGGATGCTGGGAGCCTGGCCCCTTGGACTGTCCGCCTGGGGCGAGGCCCTGGGCCTTCTGCCCATGGCCGCTGCACAGCAGGGCTCACAGCAGGGAGCCCCGCCCCCCCCAGGGGTAACGGCCTGAAGGCAGAGCCTGGGCTGCCCTGCGGCACCGAGGCGGCAGGCTCCGGGCAGCGAAGGCAGTGCGGGGCTGGGAGCAGACCCCCAACACCCTACGGGTTCCTCCTCGGGCCCCCCAATACCCCACGGGCTCCTCCTTGGGCCCCCCAATGGTTCCTGCTCATGCCCCTCCCCCCACAGGCCCCCCCACCCCCCACGATGGTGACCTGGGGGGTCCTCCCCATGAGCGGCCCCTCGCTGGTCCAGGGCCTGCAGGCTGGCCTGAGGACCGTCCCTTAGGGGCAGCCCTCCCCAGCTGCACCCGGGTGCGGGCCGGGCGGGGCGCAGACACTCACCAGAGCTCGTCCACCACCCGCACCAGCACGAAGAACGTGTTCTTGCTGACCCGCTTCTTGAACGTGTCGGCGAAGGGTGAGAACTTCTCATACGTGGAGGAGGTTAAGGAAACGCGTGCTGGCTTGGAGGGCAGGGCGGCGAGATTCTTCCGCGCTCCCAGCGACCCCCAGAGGCCCAGCAGAGCTGCGCAGACCTGCCTGGCGCCGCCCGCCCGCAGGCCAACCCCGGCTCCACCAGGCCCCTGTGCCACGCCATGGCTCCCGGGGGCTGAGCACCAGAGGCCGGCTGGGCCGGGCGTGGCCAAGCCGCGAGTCCTCAGAGGCGCCACCTGCAGTGCGCAGAGGCAGAGCCTGCGGCTCATCGGGTCACGCCCGCCGCCTGCCCTGCCTCCCGGTGACTGGCCCCTGCGCAGGAAGCACCCCGTGCCTGGGCAGGTCCCAGGACCACAGAGGACGGGAGCCCCAGGCCCCAACGCGGCAGGCAGCAACAGACACCAACAGACCCGGTGGCCAGGAGAGGGACGCCCGGGACCGGCGCTGTGAGATGGGCCTGCACCCGCGGGACCTCTCCGGGCGCTGGGCCCGAGCGCTTGACCGCATCGCAGCAGAGTGCCGACGCTGGCACACCAGGCCCGGCGGGCCAAACGGTGCCGGTGTCGGAGCTCACAGGGCAAATGCACAGCGTCAAGCCCAGTGGCCGGCTGCCCCCGCCCCCGCGAGTGTGCTCCTTGTGGGGCAGCGGAGGGCCTGTCCACTTTGGTCCTGAGGGCCAGGGCCAGGGGGAGGCGCTGGAAGACCTTGGGCTCAGAGCCAGCAGAGGCCCGGGGCTGTCCAGGGCCCGCCTGTCCAGCAGATGGCAGTGATGTGCTGGGGCTGGCCCCCCAAGGAGCAGTGGCCCCAGGTCAGCACCGGAGGCCGAGTGGGTCCTGGAGGCCCAGCAGTTCTCGGCCACTACTGCGGGAGCGGGGGCGGGGCTCCCGAGAGGCAGGTGAGGTGGAGGGGAGGAGCCAAGCAGGCTCAGGTGTGACACCTCCCCAGCAGCGTCTGTGGCCAGGCGGCGGCCCCCACACAGGCTGTCACCTGTCTCGAGTCCCTCGAGCCCGGCGCACCCCACCACTGGGTCCCCGGCACCTGCCGCCTGGCTCAGCTGCAGCCACCGATGCCCCCAGACTCCCTCCAGCCTCAGGCCAACCCATCCTAACTCAGTGTCCGGCGGCGACGCTGACCCGCAGCACACACTGGCCGCCCCATAACCTTGGTCAGCCCTGTCGGGGGCGCGGCCCGGACAGGTGGCCTTGCCAAGGCCTCCGCGAGTCTGTGGCTGAGGGGAGCGCTCCAGGCTGAGCCCGGCCCCGGCGCCTGCCTGCGGCTCTGTGGCAACGCGGCTCCTCTTCCTGGCAGGAGGCCGCGGGCTGGGGCGGCCTGGGAGCGGGCGGCGGGAAGGATATCTGTACTGCAGCTTCTTGATGAGCTCCTCGGGGCTGATGAAGGTCCTGTAGGTGGTCAGGAAGGCCTCGCAGTACAGCACCAGGTCTGGGGAGGAGGGGCGGCTGACCATACGCATCCCGGGGGCAGACTCTGAGCAGAGTCCCGGGCACCGCGGCTGGTGGCGAGGCCCAGCGACCGGCCTTGGGGCTTCCGCCCTCCAGAGTCTGGCACAGGCGCCGGGCCGGGTGGCAGCCCTGCCGGCCCCCACCGAGGGGCTGGCCCTGGCAGGCTCCGGCGTGCCCAGAGCAGCAACAGCTGCTGCTGCGGTGCGGCCGCCATCATGGAGAAGGAAGGAGCAGGGCGCCTCCGACTCAGACGCTGCAGGGGTGCGGCCCCCACGGGACCCCAGCGGGCACATGACGCCAGCGTGCAACGGTCCCGTGCCCGCCTGTCCCTGCCTGCCGGAGCGGCCGCGGCAGCAAGGTCACGGGGCGCAGGCTACTTTCCGGACACCCCAGCTCACGGTGGAGTGCGCAGGTCGGGGCGGGGCGGGGCGGGGCGGGCGGCGGAAGCTTCTCCAGCCTGGAGGCCGGGCGGCCTCCGCACCTGCCAGGCCCCGTGACTCTGGTTCCTCGGAGTCTGGCTCCGCGCCCCAATACCGGGATGTGGCCACCAGGTTCTGCGGCTGCCGGCCCCTGGGCCCTCTGGCCGCAGCTGGGGAGGCGGACCACGCACGGCGTGGACACCTGCTGGCCTTGGCCCCTGCGCGGTCCAATGCGAACTCCTGCCTGCGGGCGGGGAAGGGGCCGGGCCTGGTGGACGCTCTGGCCTGCTCCTGCCAGCGGCCCCTCTGCCGGGCACGGGCAGCCTTCAACAGGGCGTCAGCGCCCCGGAAGCCTGGACCCCTCCAGGCGGCTCGCCCGCTGCGGGGAAGCTGGGGGCATGGCTGGCTCGGGCCGTGGGGGCCGAGTCTCTCTGCCTCTGTTTTCTAAGTTTTCTGCAATGTAAATATTTTTGTACTTCCTTCATGACTTAGAAATTCCCAGAATCGGTTCGTCACGACCTTTGCCATGAAAACACGGGGAAGACGTTGTTTACAAAATGACATTCTGGGTCCGGCCCGGAGAGCGGAGCTGTCGCCCTGCCACGGTTTACTCACGCGCCTGTGACGTCTTTTCAATCAATAAAAAAGTGAACCAAGGAGCGTGCGTGAGGCGCCCTCCTCCCCCCTGCCCAGAGTCAGCCCCCGGCCGGGAGGCCCGGCTTCTCCAGCTCCTGGAGGGCCAGGCTGGGTGGGTGCCGGGGCGCCCAGACGCAGGCCTGGGAACACCCCGACTCCCAGAAGGGCGAGAGGGGAGCGACCACGGCCAACGGCCCCAGGCCCAAGCGCCAGCCGCGAGGCTCAGGGTTCACCACGCTCCAGGGCCACTGCTCTGGGCGCCCAGCTCTGTGCTGGGTGGCAGGCGGGGGTGCAGGGCCACCCCATCCTGTACCAGGGAGGACGCACTCCAGGCATGAGGAGGCAGAGTTCACCTGCCCCCAGGACTGGCCTCCCTGTGGTGACCGGCAGCAATGGCTCAGGTGGGTGGGGCCCCGCGGTGCCCCCCACACTCGAGGGGAGGCCTCAGGGGACTGCGGTACCTTTCCGGTCCGTCTCGGTCGCGTGGACCAGCAGGATGTCCCCAGATCCTCCTCGCACGTCTGGCCCGTCGTCGCCCTGCAGTGACAGCAGCAGAGGCGGCCTGAGCAGGACATAGGAAGCCTCGGAGCCGAGGACGAGACTCCGGTCCCCGCTCTGCTCCCCTCAGCCCGGCTGCGCCGCGGTGGGGGCTCCCCAGGGACGGACAGGCCTGGACTCGCCTGGTCGGGCTAGCAGCTGCCCAGCACTGCGGGCACGAGGGCCTTGGGGGAGCGGGGCCATTCGGCCTTCCCAGCCGCGGCCCCGCGTCCGGCGGTGGCCCTGGGGAGCAGGAGGACCCCCCTCGCGGGCGGGGCGGGGCGGCGGCAGCTGGCCAAGTGCACCCAGCTCCCGACGCCGCGCTGCGCTGATGGAGCTCGCTGCGCGGGCACCCGCCGGACTGACGTCCGAGGCCAGCGGCCAGAGCCTTGGGCACACAAGCCCAGGCCTCGGGGGGAGCCCAGGCCACACCGCTGGGCTGGCCGGGGCCGTGGCAGCCCAGGCGCGGGGGGCGGGGGTGCAGCCGCCCCCACGGAGCCCCCAGCCTCCCCAGACTCCAGGGTCTGGCAGCGCCTCGATTCCCAGCTGCGAGGGCGTCTGTGCACGCCTGCCAGCACCGGGCCACCCGCTCAGAGGGGCCCCTGGGCGATGCCCCGGCTGCAGCTGTGTGGCCGGGCGCCACGGCTTGTCCTGTACCTGCATGTCTGGCCACTGGGCCGGGCCCAGAGAACACGGGGGGCGCTGGGCCGAGCCCCTCCTGCGGCCACGACAGATCACGGGTGCCCGGCCGAGGCCCCACGGCGGAGCTCGCCCTGACCTTGTCCTCCCGCACCTCCGCCCGCCGCCTGGACCAAGTGTCAGCGAGAGGACTGGTCCGGGCAGCGCTCCTGCCCCCGCCCTCCGTGCCGGCCGCACCGCCCGAGCCCGCGCTCGCCTCCTGCTTGAGCGTCAGTCTGGCCATGATTTCCTCGTGATCGATGAGGGTCAGCTCGTCCACGTCCTCCCCCAGCGGCGCCGACTCCGGAGCGTCTGGCGACTGCGGGACCCTGGGGGAGAAGTGGTTTGTGCTGCAAGTATGGGTCAGCCCCACATGCCTGTGCCGTCTCCAGCTTCCACGCTGGCCCTTGAGGCGCTGCTGGCCTGGGCAGGTAGGGAAAGTGGCCACCGGGCCTTCGGGCTGCGGGGAGGCCTGTGGGGGGTGCGGGCGGGTGTGGCGCGGTCTGTGCGCTGCGGGGAGACCCCGCTTTCGGACCCTGTGTGGGGCGAGGGGCGACGTTGCAGGGACGGGGGACGAGGAGCTGCCCTGCTGCCGCGGGGCCTCTGGGCGCCGCGGGCTAGAGCCGGGCCTCATGGGCGGGACCCGCAGGCGGCACGCCCGTGTGCCCGCGCTCTCGCCCCAGTGGGCTTCATTTTGAGGACGACGGAGACGACGCGCCCAGCGGCCGGCTTGCGGTCACGCCTACCTGTCCCCGCCGTCCCTGCTTTCCTTCCCAGGGGCGCCCCCGGCCGACGGGTCTCTGCCAGGTCCGTCCTTCGCAGCCGGTGACTCCTGGAGAGAGAAGCCGGTGCCGGCTGTGACGGGCGCCCACGGTCCGAGCCGTCTCCCGCCTTACCGCCCGCCCGGAGCTGTCTGGCGCAGGAGGCAGTCGGGGACACGGACGCACAGGCCCCCCCAAGAGCCCACTACTGCTAACGTTTCTCTCCGCAACCCGGACGCAGCATCTGAACGCCGCCTGCAAGCAAGGCCGGCCGTGGCCGGGCCGCCCGGGAGCGGGCT